CTTTAACTTAAGTTAAAGTATATTAACTTATAACGTTAAAGTATATTAGCTTATAAAGTATTACAACTTAAGTTAAAGTATATTATAATAACTTAATAAAAAAAACACTTTGTCTATTTATTTATACCAGTTTATTTTTATAACTTATTTAAGTTAAAGTATTAACTTAATAAAAAAAAAGTAATAAAAGTAAAATAAAAAAGTTTATTTTTATAACTTATTCAAGTTAAAGTATTAACTAATTAATAAAAAAAACTGCACTGTCTATTTATTTATACTAGTTTACGTTTATGACTTATTTAAATATAAAAGAACACTAATAGGGTGACAGTTACCATATTGTACATTTTCATAAATATATAATTAAAAATCGCCGATTGTGCAACACGATATTGTTATATATATGTATGTGTTACATACAGAATAGTAGAGCACTCAGCACACGTGCGGCGAGTTGGGTATATATTTGGATATGAGGTTAGTTCGCGCGTATCTTTTAAAGAGAAATAGAACGACAAACCTTTCGCCTCTTGCGACAGAATGTGAAATGCCTCTTGGATCTTGACTTCGGCATTTGACATCGTTCGAAAATATAAAGGGAATGTCGCGGAACGTTTGTGTCGACGAGCGTTTTGACACCCGGCGATAACGATGCGATCACGAACGGACGTAGGTTAGGATACTTAAAATTGATATAAATGTGAGTAAGTATTGTGTACATACACAGCCAATCGATGCATTTAGCTAATGGACCTTGTCAGATTATTAGTCACGTCGTCACGTGCTGTGTTAATCTTATTGTTTCTCCGCTAAGAATTACAAGGAAGCGATATGCTTTAATATGCGAATGTAAGTTTACTTGAGTAACCGAGACACGGATTGACACGGACGAGACGGTGGCAGTGTGCTTTTTAAAAAAAAGGTTGTAATTTCAATCTAATTCAAATTGTATATAAATATTTGTAGTGTATGTATTATATAATATATATTATATAACATTAAAATTAGGAACATATATTATATTCAGCGCATTTGAATAACATTCTCTTATTGTACAGTTTGTTCGTTTATTATAATTGACTATAAAATGAGTTTTTTTTAACTAAATTATTTAGTATAAAATATGACAATAGTTTAATAGAAAATAGATCTGATGTAAAATATGATAACGGAAAATTTTATTCAAGATATGTAATCGTGAAATATCGAACTGTTACTCAGTGAACACCAAGTTACACGTAACATATTTGTTAGTTGTAATTTCTCACAAAATATAACATATTGTTATATTATAGTTACATTGTTGAGTGGAAAATTACAGCTAACAAGTATGTTACATGTAACTTGGTATTTACTGGGTTTTATCTGTAAGAAATATAAAGCTACTAATGTAAAATGAGTTTTTGTTACTAAATTATTTAATATAAAATATGACAATAATTTAATAGAAAAAACATCTGATGTAAAATATGATAACAGAAAATTCTACTTGAGATATGTAGTCATGAAATATCGAACTGTTACCCAGCGAACACCAAGTTACACATAACATATTTATTAGTTGTAATTTCCCACAAAATATAATAATATATTGTTATATTATAGTTACATTGTTGAGTGGAAAATTAGAGCTAACAAGTACATTACATGTAACTTGGTGTTTACTGGATTTTATCTGTAAGAAATATAAAGCTACTAATGTAAAATGAATTTTTTTTTACTAAATTATTTAATGATAAATAAAAATATGACAATAGTTTAATAAAAAGAAGATCTGATGTAAAATATGATAACAGAAAATTCTACTCAAGATATGTAATCATGAAATATCGAACTGTTACCCAGCGAACACCAAGTTACTCGTAACATATTTATTAGTTGTAATTTCCCACAAAATATAATAACATATTGTTATATTATAGTTACATTGTTGAGTGGAAAATTACAGCTAACAAGTATGTTACATGTAACTTGGTATTTACTGGGTTTTATCTAGAAATATAAAGCTATTTTATCTAAAATCATAGATATTATATCAGTTACACTGATATAATATAAACACACACATCTATAATTATTATATAATATAAACACACACATCTATAATAATTTTATTGATTTGACTGTAGATATAGTATATAAAAAAAAAAAGAGATAATCTCGCACCAGTTTGAGACAAATACAATTCTTGAAGCTAAGCACACTCGCAATTGTGGATTGCAGTCATGGACAAGAGCAGCATGTTACAAATACGGATGGAAAGGCCTCTCTACGAGCACGAGACATTGAATGAAAATTTCAATTACAAGAAACCGAAGTCGTCCCGTAAGTTGTGAAACTGTGAGATGCAATTACGCCCTGCGCTACTGCGGCAAGCACATAAATTTGTAAGCACAAATCAAATCTTGTTTGCAGTGTTGCGGAATGCGATAAACAATGTTAAATCGAAAAACTGGCAGTCTTTTGTATTGTCGACGATCCCCGTGGTGCAATGGCTCCGCGAGTACAATTGGAGGGAGGATATATTGCCCGATATTATTTCAGGTTTAACAGTGGCGATTATGCACATACCGCAAGGTATGGCCTATGCGCTGCTGGGAAATCTACCGCCGGTAGTTGGCATATACATGGCTTTCTTTCCTGTCTTCATATATTTCTTCTTTGGCACGTCCAGGCACGTGTCTATAGGTGAGAATACGAGGCGATGAAAACAAAACGATGCCGAGTATACGATTTTGGGAGCTAAAGATAACGTTGAGCTGCAAACTTGCAAAAAATACACACACACGCACAGAGTGGCCCACGTAAAGTGTTACAAGCTAATAACTCTAAGAATGTTTGTCATATCAAAAAGTTATTTACAAGTTTCGAAAAAGTTTCATGTATTGGAGGAGCCTTTCTAATTACGTAAGTAAAAATCTCCCTCGAAGCGGATGGGGGTGACTTTAAAATTTCAAATGGAATCCCCTATAAAATGTTACATATTTGGATTTAACATTGTTTCTACGAGAAAAAATAAGTAAATCTTTATCTGAAATATTTTTTTGGAAAATGATTCTATCGAAAGTTATAAATATTTAAACTTTAAAATAAAATGCATTGAAGTTAATTATAAAGGCATAAATTAAATAAAAGGTTTCAAAGTTTTCCTTTTTTTCTTTTTATTTTATTAAATGTTCGAACTGTTGTCCGTTTACATTTAAACATTTATTAATTCTTTCTACAAAATTTTGTCTTTCTCTAAACAACATTTCTGTGGTGACACAAGCTTCACATATTCTTTGTTTTAAAAATCTTTTATCGTAGATGGTTGAAACATGACTTTCTCTTTGATATAGCGATAGCCTTATAAAAGAATAGTCCAAAGTTGTCAGAACAGATGAACGAAGAGGCGATTGAACTTTCCTGACTTATCCATCTGTCACCAAATATTTTTAAAAGAATACGCGTAGCTCTAGAAAAATGAGAAGATGGATGCATCATTTTGTTGAAACCACTCTTCTCTTCTTATATTAAATGGCAATTCTTCTAAAAATAGAGGAAGATGATTGCTCAATAGATTGCAATAAGATTCAGTATTAATAGTACCATTAAAAAGGTATCCAATCACAAAATCGCCAGTTATTCCACACCATACATTTAGTGATCAACGATACTGCGAAGAAATCGTATGCATCCAATGAAGATTCTCATGTGCATATTGTATATTAATATGCTCATGATTATATATTAATAGTGTTGGTAAATTGTGCTTCATCAGAAAAAAGAATATTTTGCAAAATAAATTTTCCGTGGCATTACGCCATCCACTCACGAAATATTGATGCTCATAATTGGTTTCTGAAAGTTCCTGAGTCGAAATGTTTCAGATAAAGTTTACTTATTTTTCCTTGTAGAAAAATTCAAATATGTAACATTTATTCAAGGGGGCGGAGGAAAAAATTTTTGTTTACGTAATAGATATAATAGATATAAGTTAGAAAGGTCCCTCTAATACATGAAACTTCTTCACGAACAATTTTTTGACACGAGTAATATTCTTAGAGCCAGGGTTGGATCGTAACTAGTTAAAAAGTTAATAACTTTTAATTTAACTTATTGTTAGTTAATTTTAAACGAGTTAACTATTAATTTTAACTAGTTATTTTCTAACATATATAAACTTTAACTTATTAACTTTCTTCTAAGTTAAAAATTTATTTATTTAAAAGAAAAAACATTTTCATGCAAAGAAAATATTTTGTTGTTATTTCATATAAATTTAATTTACAAATAAAATATTAAATTTATTTGATTATTTATATTGTAATTTTTTTTATCTAGAGTAATTTTATTTTTAAAAATTACAATATTCTAATATAAATGTTTTTTAAAATTAACTTTTAATTTAACTTTAGTTAATTTAATCTTAACTTTTAACTGAGCTAGTTTTTTGTTCATGCAACTTTTAACTTAACAAAGTTAATTTTATAAGTTATCATTAACTTTAACTTAATTTAGTTAAAAAAAAATATTAATTTACCCAACCCCGCTTAGAGTTATTAGCTTGTAACGCATTACATGGGCCGCCCTGTAAAACACACACCTTTTGTGGTCCGCAACTTACTCTCCCGGTCAATACATTTACTTGATTAACTTCCGTTACAGAAAAGTTAGAAATAATACATCTTAATATGAACTATATTCAACAACCTTGAACAATCAAACATTCTTGGCACCTATCAGGAACTTTCGCTGTGGTTTGCCTGATGACTGGCAAAGTAGTAACGGTTTATTCGAGTCCGCACGAGCAATACACATTTGCGAATGTTACGGAGACCGTTTCGCAAAATCTCGAGGATGTCGCATATGTATATACACCTATGCAAGTAGCAACAGCTGTGACATTAATGGTCGGAATATTTCAGGTAAACGTCTCTTAAATGCGATGCTCGGAATTACCGACATTACAGTTATATGAATATCTCCGAATTGAAAATCCTTTCACAGAATTGAAATAAACATGAAATGTAAAGGTGGGACGAAGGAATTTGCAGTAAAAAGAAAATAATTTTTAACTTTTGTTCGTTTTTACTACAAATTCCTTTGTCCCACTGCTACATTTTATGTCTATTTCAATCCTGTGAAAGGATTTTCAATTCCGTTCAGTCAATTCGGAGATATTTATATAACTGTAATGTCGGTAATTCCGACACCTTCCAGCATCGCCTTAAGTCCCTTACACTACAATACGAAGAAATAGAGGTAGCGATAGAAATAACCAGGCAATAAGCATAACGGCATGCAGGAACAGGGGAATTCCAGCTTATCGGAAATTTTATCGCTATTGCTTATTCCGTGTTCCAATCTGCATTGACATATGCAACATTCCTGAATATCCTCCATTTCTATTGCTATCGCTGTTCCCTCGCATTGTGCAAGGGGCTTTATTGCCCCATGAAAACATTCGCTCGAAATCAAAAGACAGAAAATGAAGTGGTTTTCTCTTTTTTTTTTATAGATAATAATGTATACATTCCGATTAGGCATTGTGACGACTTTGCTGAGCGAAACTTTAGTGAACAGCTTTACAACAGCAGCTGCTGTTTATGTTTTAATATCTCAAATTAAGGATCTCCTTGGTTTAAAACTGCCAAAGCAAAAAGGTTACTTTAAACTGATTTTTGTAAGTGAACAAATCATTTTTTTTCGTATGCAATACCGTGAATTATAATTAACGTACAGTAGCGAGCAAGAAAAAAGCAGGATTTGAATATTTCATTATATTTTATTTTATTTTCTAGTAAAGATATTGATACCATATTGTTAGATACGTTACTCAAATATGCAATCTATACATATTATGAAGATTTAAAGAAATTATAAAAATTTTCTAAAAAAGTCGGTTTTTTTGAAAGTCATATATTTCACTAATTTTATTTTTTTGTTTATGTTTATACAAAAACTTAAAAATGAAGCAATTGTAATATAAAAATATTATTAATATCACAAACAGTAAGACAAAGAGCTAAACAAGCCAAGCCAAAGGTTTTCGTGCTGTTAAAGTTAATAAAGTTTACTAGGTAAATATTAAAAATCATAAATCACAAGTGTTACAAATATTGTGCAATTCCAAACATTTCGACCTTATATGTGGTCATTTTCAATGAACATAAATAATAAATTAATAAAATATTAAAATCTTACATCAACAATGGCGCAAGTACAATACTTGAAAGTCGATTGATGTCAGAAAAACTTTGCGCGCAATTCACTGTCCGCAAGATATATATATTTCGGTAGTCGTATAAAGTTGTTCGTGGTTAAGTAAAACGGTTGAGTTTCCAGGATCTGGTTAAAGAAATTAGTTGATGACGGGAACGTGAAAAGATTAAAATGTATGTCAGTTAGGAGAGTTATTACAGAAGCGACTAAATATTATTAATATTTAGTCGTAAGCTGCCACGAGCTTTAATTACACCCTGCAAACACAGATTATAACTGCAATATTAGAGCAACATTGTAACATTTTTGTAATATAGCTTGAATGTTACAATATTGCTGCAACATTGCTATTATAATCTGTGTTTGCACAGTGTTACATCTAGAGATGTAAATAAAAAAAAAACCAAATTGTTTTTTTTTTTCATAAAATACGTTTTTTTAAGAAAAAAAACATAAGCCTCGTTTTTTTCTCAAAATTTTGTTTTTTTGCAGCTGTCTATTTAATATCTATATTTTACTTAATATAAGTTAATTTTTCATGATTTTTTATTTTATAGATAGTAAATTTAAATTATCATTTTAATTTTTATGCAGAACAAGAAAGCCAAAATATTGATTCTAAAACATATTTTGAACCAAGGACTTCAATAAATAATTATAATAAATTCTACTTAAAGAAAAACTGTTCAGAAAAAAAATTAAAAAGATTCTCCTTTTGTAAAAGTTAAATGTAGATCACATTAAAATTAATTATATAATTACTATTTACAATTAATTAGTCGTGCTATCAAAATTAGCAAAAAAACCAATTGATTTGTATTTTTTTAATAGATCGGAAGAGCACAC